CAGTTCTTTACATTCTTTTTTCTTTATTCTGCTCTGCAGTAGTTTTTTCCACTATTTTATCATCCAGGTCACTTATCCATTCTTCTGCCTCAGTTATCTAGAGTATCTTTCATTTCATTTATTGTGTTGTTCATCGTTGTTTGTTTCATCTTTAGTTCTTCTAGGTCCTTGTTAAATGTTCCTTGCATTTTCTCTATTGTATTTCCAAGATTTTGGATCATTGTTACTATCATTATTCTGAATTCTTTTTCAGGTAGACTGCCTTTTTCCTCTTCATTTGTTAGGTCTGGTGGGTTTTTACCTTGCTCCTTCATCTGCTGTGTGTTTCTCTGTCTTCTCATTTTGCTTAACTTACTGTGTTTGCAGTCTCCTTTTTGCAGGCTGCAGGTTCGTAGTTCCTGTTCTTTTTGGTGTCTATCCCCAGTGGCTAAGGTTGGTTCAGTGGGTTGTGTAGGCTCCTGGTGGAGGGGACTAGTGCCTTTGTTCTGGTGGATGAGGCTGGATCTTGTCTTTCTGCTGGGCAGGTCGTCTGGTGGTGTGTTTTTGGGTGTCTGTGGACTTACTATGATCTTAGGCAGCCTCTCTGCTAATGGGTGGGGTTGTGTCCCTGTCTTGCTAGTTGCTTGGCATAGGATGTCCAGTACTGTAGCTTGCTGGTCGTTGAGTGAAGCTGGCTGCTGGTGTTGAGATGGAGATCTCTGGGAGATTTTCGCCGTTTGATATTACTTGGAGATGGGAGGTCTCTTTTGGACCAGTGCCCTGAAGTTGGCTCTCCCACCTCAGAGGCACAGCCCTGACGCCTGGCTGGAGCACCAAGAGACTGTCCTCCACACGGCTCAGAATAAAAGGGAGAAAAAGTAGAATGAAACAAAGAGGATAAAATAAAATAAAGATAAAATAAAGTTATTAAAATAATAATTATTAAGGAAAAAAAAATTTTTTAAAGTAAAAAATCCAAACACAACGGATGGACAGAACACTAGGACAAATGGTGAAAACAAATCTATACAGACAAAATCTCACGCAGAAGCATACACATGCACTCAGGAAAAGGGGAAAAAATAATATATCTTGCTCCCAGTGTCCACCTCCTCAATTTGGGATGATTCGTTGTCTACTCAGGTATTCCACAGATGCAGGGTACAAGTTGATTGTGGAGATTTAATCCGCTGCTCCTGAGGCTGCTGGGAGAGATTTCCCTTTCTCTTCTTTGTTCGTACAGCTCCTGGCTTTGGATGTGGACCCGCCTGTTCGTGTAGGTCGCTGGAGGGCGTCTGTTCTTCGCTCAGACAGGACGGGGTCAAAGGAGCTGCTGATGCAGGGGCTCTGGCTAACTCAGGCCGGGGGGAGGGAGGGGCACAGAGTATGGGGCAAGCCTGAGGTGCGCCATGCGTTGTCCTGGGGAAGTGGTCTCTGGATCCCGGGACCCTGGCAGTGGCGGGCTGCACAGGCTTGCACACAGGCTTCTTGGTGGCAGTAGCAGCGGCGTTAGCGTCTCATGCCCGTCTCTGGGTCCAGGCTGTTGGCCACAGCTCGCGCCTGTCTCTGGAGCTCCGTTAAGCAGCGCTCTTAATCTCCTCTACTTGCGCACCAGGAAACAAAGAGGCAAGAAAAAGTCTCTTGCCTCTTCGCAGCTCCAGACTTCTCCTGGACTCCCTCCTGGCTAGCCGTGGTGCACTAACCCCTTCAGGCTGTGTTCAAGCTGTCAGTACTCTCCCGAAGCCCAAGCCTCAGCTCCCAGTCCCCCCCCCACCCCCGCCCTGGCGGGTGAGCAGACAAGCCTCTCGGCCTCGTGAGTGCCGATTAGCACCCATCCTCTGTGCAGGAATCTCTCTGTTTTGCCCTCCACATCCCTGTGGCTGCGCTCTCCTCCGTGGCTCCAAAGCTTTTCCCCCCTCCACCTCCCACAGTCTCTGCCCACAAAGGGGCTGCTAATGTGTGCAAACCTTTCCTCCTTCACAGCTCCCTCCCACTGGTGCAGGTCCTGTCCCTATTCTTTTGTCTCTGTTTTTTTCTTTTTTCTTTTGCTTTGCCCTACCCAGGTACCTGGGGAGTTTCTTGCCTTTTGGGAGGTCTGAGTTCTTCTGCCAGTGTTCAGTAGGTGTTCTGTAGGAGCAGTTCCACGTGTAGATGTATTTCTGGTGTATCTGTGGGGAGAAAGGTGATCTCCGCGTCCTACTCTTCTGCCATCTTCCTCAACTCCTCCCTCCTCCTATTATGTCTTGAAGTTTGGTAATGTGAGCCCTTCAACTTTGTTCTTGATTCAGTATTGTGGAACTGTTCTCTGTCTTTTGCTTTTCCCTATAAATTTTAGAATTAGTTACCAAAAACAGCTTGCTGGGACTCCGATTGGGATTTCAGCAGCTCTGTAGAACAAGTTCAACTGACATCTTAACAATTATGAAACTTCTAATGCAGGAGTTTTGACTCTCTCTTCATTTATCTAGATCTTTTTTTGATTTATCTTACCAGTGTTTTATAGTTTTCCACATACAGATCCTGTCCATATTTTTTTGATTTACAGCTAAGTACTTCCTTTTTAGGTGCTATTGTATATGATGTGTTTAAAATGTTTTAAATTTCAATTGTTTGTTTGCTTATGTAAAGGAAAGCAGTTGAGTTTTGTACACTGAGCTTGTATCCTGTAACCTTGCTGTATACCCCCTTATTAATGCCAAGGGTTTATTTGTTTTTTATAACATGGTAGAGTTTCTACATAGACATGTAATCCGTGCTTCCTTTCCAAGCTGTGTAACTTTTATTCTTTTTCTTTTCTTATTGCACTGGGATTTCTATTATAATATTGAATGTATGTAGTAAGAGATGGCATCTTTTTTTGGTCCAAAACTTAGGAAGCAAGTATTCAGTGTCTTATACTGTTAGCTATAGGGGTTCTTTAATATATCCTTCACTGGTTAAGGAAATTCCCTTTAATTCTAATTTTTAAAAATCCTAAATGGGTGCTGCATTTTGTTAAATGAGAAGATGGTTTTATTCAGTCTGCTAAAATAGTGAAGTTGATTGATTTATGATATCAAACTGTCCTTGACTCCCTGGAATGAACTCTGCTCAGTAGTGCTGTATTATATGTTGCTGGAGTCCACTTACTTGTATTGCGTTAAAAATCTTTTGTCTACGTTTATGAGCTATATGGGCCTGTAGTTTTCTTTCTCGTAGTGTCTTTACCAAGTTTTTGTTTTAGGGTAATGATGGCCTCATAAAATGAGTTGGGATGTGTTCCCTCATGAAGAGCAAATTTTAAAGATATTGTGGAGTATTGGTATCATTTTTTCTTTAAAAGTGTGGTTGACTTCACCAGTTAAATCACCTGAACCTGGTGATTTCACTTTTGAAAGGCTGTAAATGATGAACTCAATTTCTTTAATAGCTGTGGTACCATTCAGATTATCTATGTCTCTCCTTAAGTGAGATTTGGTAATTTTTGTAATTTAAGACATTAGATCATTTTATCTAAGTTATCAAATTTGTGGGCATAGAGTTGTTCATAGTACTTCTTTTTATCCTTTTAATGTCCTTGGGAGTAGTGTGACCCCTGCCTCATTCCTGATATTTGTAATTTGTATCATCTTTTTCAGATTGAGCTGTGTAGAGCCTGATCAATTTTTATTAATCTTTTCAAATAAGCACTTATTGGTTTCATTCATTTTCTCTGTGTTTTCCTAGTTTAACTTCCGTTGCTTTCTCCTCTAGTTTTTATAATTTGTTTCCTCTGCTTGCTTTAGGGTCAATTTGTTCTTCTTACTGTAGTTTTCTTAGCTGGAGATTTAGGTAATCAATTGCAAATCTGTCGTCTTTTCTAATATATGTGCTTAATGCTATAACTCTCCCTCTCAGCACATTTTGATGTTATATTTTCATTTTGTTTAAAATTTCTTTGAAACTTATTTGACCTAGTGATTACTTAGAAGTGTGCTGTTTAATATCCAAATATTTGGGAATTTTCCAGCTATATCTTTCTGTTAGTGATTTCTTGTTTGATGCTGTGGTGATCTGAGAGCATACTCTACATGACCTCTATTCTTTTAAAAATGTTAAGGTGTATGTTATGGCCTAGTGTATCGTTCTTTCTATTTTGGTGACTATTTCACGTGTTCTTGAGAAGAATGTGTGTTCTCCTCTTGTTTGATGGAGTATTCTACTTATGTCAATTTGATCAAATTGATTTATAGTGTTGTCCAGGTCACTTACGTTTTTACTGATTTTTCGCCTGCCTAACCTAATCTATCAATTACCGGCAGAGTTGTGTTGAAGTCTCCATAGTCTCATGCATTTTGATGCTCTTCGGTTAGTTACATACATGTTTATGATTTTTCATGTGTTCTTGGAGAACTGACTTCCCTCTATCATTATCCTTCTTTAATCCCTGACAATCTGTTTCATCTGAAATTAATATAGTTAACTGCAGCTTAATTTTGATTAATGTTAGCCTGTTATATCATTTACCATTGCTTTACTTTAGCTGGAGTCTTTACATTTAAAGTGGCTTTCTTCTAGATGGCACATTTTTCCTCTGGTCTGACAATCGTGGACTTTGTTTATATTTAAAGTGATTATTGATATAGTTTGATTAAAATCTGCCATCTTTGAAACTATATTCTAAACAGTACATTTGTTCTTTCCTTCTTTTTACCTCCTGTTTCTCTGTCTCCTTTGGTTTTAATTGAGAATTTTATATGATTCTCTTTTATCTCCTCTTGATGTATCATATTTCCTTTTAAAGTGTCTTTAGTGATTTTCTTAGGGTTCACAATACATAGATTACAAACAATCTAAATCGACTTTCAAATAACATTATACAACTTCATGTATAGTACAGGGACCATACAACAGAGTATTTTCAATTCCTCCAACCATCCTTTGTGACATTTCTCTAATACATTTCACTTACTGATATGCTATAGTTACCCAATACCTTGTTCCTTTATTGCTTTGAACAAAAAGATGTCTTTTAGATGAATAAAGAATAATAAAATATTTACCTCTATTCCTTCTCTGACAGACACTCTTCCTTTCCTTAGGTAGATCCAAGTTCTTAAGGTAGATAATTTCCATCTGCCTGAAGAAAGTTTTAGTTTTTTAATAGGACTGTGCTGCTGGTAACAAGTTCGCTATGTTTTTGTCTGAGAAAGTCTCTGGCTCCTTTACTTTAAAAAAAATACTTTTGCTAGACATTGCATTGAATTCTATGTTGGCCATTTTCTTTCAACATTTTACAGTATTCTCCTTTTGCTTGCATGGGCTGTGTTCTTACCCTTGTTCCTATATTGGGAAGGTTTCTTTCCCTCTTTAGTTTCTTTCAGGATTTTCTTTGTCTCTGGTTTTCTACAGGTGAAGATAATACATCTAGGTGTGGTGGGTTTTGGTATTTATCTTACTCGGTGTTCTCTGAGCTTCTGAAAATTGTGGTTTGGTGTCTGTCAATAACTTTGGTACCATCTCAGCAATGATTACCTCCCTCAAACATTTCTTCTTCTGCCCCATTCTCTCTTTCTGCCAGTTCTTGATCTATCTTCAAGTTTACCGATTCTTTCCTTAAGTCTACTTATGAGCCACCCAAAGCATTAACTGTTTTTGATTTCTAACATTTACTTTTGAAATCTCCACAACTCTGCTGATATTACCCATTTGATCTTGCATGCTGCCTATTTTTTAATTAACATATTATTAATCATGGTTATATTCCAAATGCCTTATCTCTTATGATGATTGCTTTTTCTCCCCAAACTGCCTTTCAGTATGCCTTTTAATAAAAAAGTAAAAGTTGTCATGTATCAATAGTACCTACAGGTAAATAGACCTTTTAGGGGCAGGATTTATGGTAATCTGGATATGAGCTGGACTGCTTTAATGTTTGCTATAGCTACAGAGGAATGTGGAGTCTGTACTACCTAGTGTCATTATTTGTTTCCTCTTTGGGCTTTAAGGCTTTTCTTTGTCCTATTCATACTTCTCAGAGGGGGGCTATGTTTGTTGGGTGCAGAGGAGGTAAGAAATAGTCTTTGAGTGGAGATTTGTCTCGGAGTGGCCTTCCCAACTGTTTCTGTCCCTCTTCAAGGTACATAGCTCCTTCCTCCCATCTTCCTTGTACCAAGTTCCCAGTATATTTCCTTGAAGTTCTGTCCCCTGTTAACTTTGTCTTTCTGCTCTTAGGTGAAATACAAATGCTAGAAGGGACTACAAGGGGAAGGAAATCTCTTTCCCCAGGTGAGATAAGTCAGTCTTTGTTATAGAGAAGAAAATGAAAGGATTACCCTTGCTGCTTTCCCCCTTCCTTTGTCAGAGCCGCAGGAGATTTTTCTTGAATCCATACTGTGCAAAGCTGTAGGGTTCCTAGAAGGAAAGCCCAAAACAGTGTAAGTGATTGCAGCCCCCAGGAATGTGTCGGGATCAAGCTAGTTAGCACTCAGCTTACAGCAACTTGTCAAGATTACTACTAAACGAAGTGTTTATACAACTTGTGGCTTCCCCTCCAGGTAAGCAAATTTCTAGTGCTGTATTTCTCTGGATGCACCAATCTCTCTGATTTTAGAGGGACAGTTTTCCCTGTGGCCCCAGTTCTTTGATAGGTTCAAGAACTTTTCTCTTGCACTGCCAAGAGCGATGACTTGTAAGCTCTTTTCCATGTTAGAGCTGAAATAGATAAACCCATGTCTATCAACTGGGAACGGGAAAAATTAGATGTGCTTCATTTCAAGCCTAGAGACCCACATAATTTGCACAAATAGAAATAGGTACATTGAACAATTAAACAACTTTATATGAGATGATAAACAATACTTTAAAACCCAATAAATACATAATGTAATACAGATTTAGTGTACTCTACATAGAATGAAAAGTTTAGAGTAAGTGGTGTTCGGTGGAGAAGAAGGCCAGGGCTTGCTCTTTGGAAGGTGCAGTCATCATTCTGCACCTCTTTCTTAGTTAACAATTGAAGTTTATGTTTTTACCATGCACTCAAAAACAGCAATCTAGGAAAAATAAAGGGTAAGTCTAGAAACATATGGAAAAAGTGCACAGACTGAAGAAGCAACTCTTCATCCTTCTCACTTGGCATAAATTCACCAATAAAAATGCTGTGGCTCATTGAACCATGACCTGCAGTTTAAATTTGTTTCATATGATATTCTCTGACTAGAAAGTGTGTCTAGTAAATTGGTGAAGGACTCCGCTTGAAAATGTAACATCTTAGAAAACACCACGTCTCAGAGGGCATCTACTTAGTGTGTTTTTAGGTGATGTCATTATGCTGAAACAAAAAAAGAGTGGTGTCCAAAAAATGGTATACTAAAGGGTATACTATTTCAAGAGCTGTTATGGTCCAACATCATTAACTGAGCAGTCCCTATGTGAGGTAATTCTGTAACTTGCTGTAGTTTTTATTTCATTTAAAGTCTGGAATCAGCTAACGAGTAACGTGTCATCCAGACCAATGTAAAAATTTCACACGCTTTCAGTTTTCTTCCCCTCGCCTCTGCCCCAACGTCCGTGTGGAAAATGCCTAGAAGATTAGTTCATATTCTTGTTAAGATTCCTTTCTTTTCATAACAAATACTTATTTAGGCCTAGCAACGAGGAGTTCTCACTTCTGTTAACTGGATCTTCACACATACTCCTGCTTCTTTCTGGATTGACTATTTTTCCTGATGTAATTCAGCCTCTAAAAAGTAGGTATTTTCAGACACAGCCTATAAACTCTAGAACTTCTGAGTTCAAGCTCACCCTTACCTGACCAGTATCTGGGGGCATAGAATTCTAAAATCAAAGAATTTCCATCTGTACTTTGCAAGCGTTCCACTGCCTTCTTGTTGCCAATATTGTTGTTGACAAACCTAGTGTTGTTACCTGAATTCCTGAAGCCTGTTCTGAGGCAAAGATATGAATACGTAGATTTTTCTCTTTACTGACAATGCCCTGAGGTGTATACACAATGCGTCAATATAGTTTGGGTGCTGTTGTGTTACTTTATTTTTTTAAATTAATTTTTGGCTGCGTTGGGTCTTCATTGCTGTGCGGGGGCTTCTCCTGTTGCAGAGCACAGGCTCTAGGCGTGCAGGCTCAGTAGTTGTGGCACACAGGCTTAGTTGCTCCACGGCATGTGGGATCTTCCCGGAACAGGGATCGTGTCCCCTGCATTCTTGACCACTGCACCACCAGGGAAGCCCTGTTGTGTTACTCTTATTGCTTTTCATTCATTCTCTCTCTATTCTTTTCTCCAAAACATAATACATATTATGTTGGAACTTCTAGCCATAAAATGTTCTTTCTAAGTCCTTTATCAGATATATGTTACTGACTGACTGCAAATATTTTCTACCACTCTGTGGCCTGTCTCTTCATTTTTTAGAACAGGAGAAGTCCTCAACTTGGATAAAGTCGGTTTCTCCTTTTGGTAAGAAAGCTTTTCTCCTACAGTTTATTCTAGAAATTTTATAGTTTTAGGTATTATATTTAGATCCAGAGTTTGAGTTAATTTTTTGTAAATATTGCAAGACATGAATTTGTTATCTTTCATTTTTTTGAATATTGATATCAACTTTTTTCAGCATTTGTTGAAACAGCTATTTATTCTCCATCAAGTAATTTTTCCTTCTTTGTTGAAAGTCAACTAACCATATCTATTTCTAGTTTCTCTATTCTAGTCTAGTCTATTGTTCATTTATCTTGACTCTAACATCACAGTTTTTGATTACTGTAGCTTTAGAACAACTCTTGAAGTCAGCTAGTATGATCCCTCCAACTTTTCAAACAAAGTCTTCTAAAGTTGTTTTAGCATTTCTAGGTCCTTTACGTTTCCATAAGAATTTTAGCAACAGCTTTTCAATATCTACCAAAAAGCCTTTTGGAAGTTTGCTTGGAATTGCACTGCACTGACAGTACACTATGGCAACAACTGATAATATACCTCACCACTTACTTATGTCTTTTTCACTTAGTAGGAAGAAAAATTCCTCAACCTGATGAAAAACCTACAGCTGACATCATCCATAAGGCTAAATGCTTTATGTCCATGATAGGAAAGAAACAAGGATGTCTGCTCTCACCAGCTCAATATTTAATTTTGTGTGGGAGATCTTAACTAGTGCAATAAGGTAAGAAAAAATAAGTAAAATGAACAGATTGAAAAGGAACGAAGAAGACTATACATATTTGTAGATAACATGATCATCTAAGTAGAAAATCCAAAGAATCTACAAGAAACTATGCAAACTGACGATAGTAAGATGGCAGGACACAGTGTTTATACACAATTGATAGTATTTCTATATACTATACTAGCAACTTATAATTGGATTAAATAAAAATACCATTTGCAATATCATAAACATGAAATACTTACAGATGAATATAAGACAATCTGTACAAGAGGTGTATGTTGAAAACTGCAAAATATTACTGAGAGAATGTCAAATTTTACAAAATTAATGTGGTGCCTCAATGCAATCTCAATCAAAATCCCAAGAGATTTTGACAATTTGATTCTAAAATTTATGGAAGTGGAAAGGCCAGGATAGTCAAGGCTATTTTGAAAGTGTTGATCCTTGGAGTGTAAAACTAGTTAGCAAGACTTTATAGTAAGCTACAGTAATTAAAACAGTGTGATAGACATATATTTTAATGGAATAGACAGTCCAGAAATAGTATTGCACCCATATGATTGATTTTGAACAAATCTGCCAAGGAAATACAATGGGAGCAAGACAATTCTTTTCAACAAATTGTGCTGAAACAACTGGGCCTCATATTGAAAAAATAAACCTCAACCCTAATCTCACACCATATACAGTGAATAACTCACTCATCATGGATCACAGATCTAAAACTGATAACTAAAAATTTCTAGAAAAATTTAATGAAGAAATCTTAGTGGCCTGGAGTTAGAGCTTTCTTGATATGATTCATGCTTGTTTTGTGTCCTAAGAAAAAAACTGAAGTAGTTTCACGAAAATTTAAGAAACACTGGAATAAAACCTACATAAGGAGGCCAAAGACATGTACTTTGAAAACTGTAAGAAACTAATGAAAGAAGTTGAAGAAGACACAAACATATGGAAAGATATACTGTGTTCTTATATTGAAAGAATATTGTTACAATAACCATACCACCCAAGGCAATCTACAGATCCAGTGCAATCTCTATGAAATTACTAATGGCATTATTCACAGAACAAAAAATTTTACAATTTGTATGGAAACACAAAAGACCCCAAATAGCAATCTTGAGGAAGAAGAGAGCTGGAGGACTCAAGCTTCCTGACTTCAGACTATCTTCCTGACTTCAGACTATACTACAAAGCTACAGTGAGCAAAACAATATGATACTGGCACAAAAACAGAAATATAAATCCATGGAACAGGATGGAAAGCCCAGAAATAAACCCATGCACCTATGGTCAATTAATCTACAACAAAGGAGGCAAGAATATACAATAGAGGAAAGACAGCCTCTTCAATAAGTGGTGCTGGGAAAACTGGACAGCTGCATGTAAAAGGATGAAATTAGAACATTCTTTAATACCATACACAAATCAATTTAAGACCTAAATGGAAGACCAGATACTATAAAACTCCTAGAGGAAAACACAGGCAGAGCACTCTTGGACATAAATCGCAGCAAGATCTTTTTCAATCCATCTCCTAGAGGAATGGAAATAAAAACAAAGCTAAACAAATGGGACCTAGTTAAACTTAAAAGCTTTTGCACAGTAAAGGAAACCATCAACAAAATGAAAAGACAACCTACGGGATGCAAGAAAATATTTGCAAACAATGCAACTGACAAGGGATTAATCTACAAACAGTACATGCAGGTCAATATCAAAAAAAAAACAACCCAGTCAAAAAATGGGCAGAAGTCCTAAGTAGACATTTCACCAAAGAAGACATACAGATAGCCAAAAAGCACATGGAAAGATGTTCAACATCACTAATTATTAGAGAAATGCAAGTCAAAACTGCAGCTACTTCACACCAGTCAGAATGGCCATCATCAAGAAGTCTACAAACAATAAATGGTGGAGAGGGTGTGGAGAAAAGGAAACCCTCCTATGCTGATTTGGGGAATGTAAATTGGTACAGCCACTACGGAGAACAGTATGAATAGAGCTACCATATGATCCAGCAGTCCCACTCCTGGGCATATATCCAGAGAAGACCATGGTTCACATGCACCCCAATGTTCACTGCAGTGCTGTTTACAATAGCCAAGACATGGAAGCAACCTAAATGTCCATCGACAGATAAATGGATAAAGAAGATGTGGTGTATGTGTGTATATTTATATATATATGTATACACACACCTACATATGTATGTATATGTGCACACAC